TGAGCGTCTCGGCTGCTCTCCCGGCACCTTTCTCGGGGCGGACACAAAGGCCGCCTGCGGGCTCCGTCTTCTGCCAAGCGAGCTCTGAGCTCCTGTATCAGGTTGTTATAGAAACTTGGTGTCAGCCTCCAGCGTTATTAAAGCGTGCTGTCAGCAAGGGCTGTGCGGTACGCGGTAGCTTGTTGTTAAGAGACTCTTACAGAAGAGAAGTAGCTCTGAAAAACTCTGTAGCATGAGTCAGATCCAGTATCTTGTGTGTCCTACTGCTTTTGGCATGACCCAGGTGACTTCCTCATGCTCTTGCCCCTTGAAGTCATATTAATTTAGAATTAACAGCATTTGATTAGTCATATCGGTGCTGGTTGCTTCATGCCATGTTTCTGTGCTCCACTGAGTTAGTGAAGTTAAATGGTTTTGAGAGGGGAAAACTAGGTGCAAAAGTAAGCTTGAATTTAATAGAAAGTGCAAGCACTAGAGTTAAAGCTGAATATTTATTCCGGTACTGGTCTTGGAGTGTTAGTGTTGTGAAACTACACCCTCGTTTCTAATGAGAATTTTTATTTTTTTAGCTGAAAGAAGAGAATGCCAGTTTGAGAAGCAAGATCAATAAGCTTCAGATTTTCTCTGAAACTCAAGCAGACAAGTGCGTAAGCCATAGTATGGGGGAAAGTAACGGCATAAGCAAGGAGTTGTCTTAGAAGAGGTGCTCACTGGAAACAGTCAACGTCTTTAAAGAAGAAAAATGTAGTTGAAATCTATGCTATTTATTAAAAAGCTTTAATAAACCTGGTTTTCTTATTGAAAAAGGCTTGGAAAGTAAGTAGCAAGCTGACATCTGATGAGTATGCTTGTGTGGCTTACGCTTCATGTAGTTTAGGTGGTTAGTGAGAATGAGGGTAGGGCTTAACAGGATGCATTTCATAAAGCTTCAGACTAACAAAATAATTAATCTTAGTCTCTCTTCTTTGAAGCAAGAAACGCATTTTTATTTTTGCTGGTGAGCAGCTTGTTATTGGGGGAGTTGAATTTCCTGAGTTTAAAGAACCCAGTGGCCAATGCAGCGTGTCGATTTCTTAAGTTCCTCTGTGCTGTGCTGCTCCTCGCAGTGAGGCAGCTGGTACTTCCATGGTGATGGGGTAACCATTTATTTCTAAATTGCCCTTATCTAGGCTGATCATGAACAGCCCTGTTTTCTGTACTGCCTTTCTGCAGTCAGCTGTGTAGTTCCCATTAGTGCTAATGGATGTTCAACAAAGAAATCCCCTGAGCCACAACCTGGAATTGTAGTTCTGTGGGAAGACTTAATTCTTTTTATAACATGAAGGAATGAGTTTCTTGATCCTTCCTTTCTTACTAAGGTATTTAATGCTACAAGTGCTTACTGAACATTGTCTTTTGTATTTTAAGGATGAGGAAGCTTGAAAGAAAGCTTGAGGAAAATAAAATTAAAGAAGAAAAAGAAGCGCAGGATTTGGAAGCAATGGTGCAGCATGTGGAACAAAATCTCCAGCTAATGACTGTAAGTGTTGGCGTTTGCCATAGTAGCAGAAGTTTGTGTGGAAGCTGTGTAGCTCCATTCCTGTTCCTTCCTCCCTCAGGAGTGAGGGAAGCTGAAGTGATTCCTTCACCCATGTGAGCACTAAAGAGCTCTGACATGGGTTTGAACTTTTCCCTTATAACAAGACTGCATCCCAGTCTAGAACTCCTTTTGTTACCTCGAGTAAGGGAAGTCTTTGCAGAAATGCCGTTTTCGGATTCATCAACACCTTCAATTGCTTTTTTGCAGCCTTCTGTAAATACCTCCTATATGAACTAAGAGCTGTTTTTCCTCCTTGCTTATTTATACTGAGTGCTTTTCCTCTTGTCCGTGGAAAAGAATTAATGGCTGGAGGTGATGGACACCACTTGAAGGTCTCAGAAAGGAAAAATGAGGAGGGGAGGAGACAACTGATCAGACATGACTGGGGGTACCATCCCCGTTTAGTAAAGCATTTTGAACACGAGGTGGTGTAACGCAAATTGTATCACTTCCAGTTACATGCTGGAATGTAGCTTAAACTGCCTGCTATGTCCTAAGCACTGCTGTGGTATAAATAATCTTTATTCTATTTCAGAAACGGGCTGTTAAAGCGGAAAACAATGCTACAAAACTGAAACAGGAAAATGCGCTACTTCAGGTACGAAGCAGTATTCTTAAGGCCTTGCTGAATGTACCGGGACCAAAAGCATACACCTTGAAGTTGAGCCTGTAAAAAGGAGATTGAAAAATTTTAATTACGCCTCACATCCTGGCGAATGCTATAGAAGACGCTCTAGTCTGGAACACTTCATCTCTGCACAGACGGTTACCTTCATCTCTGCGACGTGTGGTACTTCGCTTACGGTTTTGCTGATGTTTCATGTGATGTTCAAATGCTGTTCGATATTTGGGACCTGCGAACGCTGTAATGCAGTAGGTTAAAGGGGGGGGTTGCCTGCAGGAAGGTGCTGGCTGGCGTGAAAATGCTGTGGATGTTTTCAGCTTGAATAAAGGCTTCTGAGTTGTAGTTTTCTGTCAGAGACACCTCTGCAGAGCCGGGAAGATATTCTCTCCGGTCAGTCTGGTTACGGGATCTGCTCATTAGTTGCTGTACCCTGCTCAAAATAGTAAAGTATCTACTGGAGTTTTGTGGTTATTTTCATACAAAGTTTTGGTTTGTTTCCTCCCTAGGTGCAGCTGAAGAATTGCCAGACGGAGAATGAAGCCTTGAGGTCAGGGCAGTCGGCCAGCCTGGCCGTGGTGAAGCAGAATGCAGACCTTGCCTTGCAGAACCTCCTCACGGTCATAACAAACTCCCGCACTTCCATAAAGTGAGTTGTGTTAAGATGACACCCCTGATGCTGTCTCAGATATTTGTCCAAGGTCACAACTAAATGTCCCCAGTGGGTTTTTTAGGATTGAAACTCGTGTTCTTGTATTCTGTGTGCCAGATCAGCTCGTCCATGTTCTTACTTACCTGCCAGGTATTTTTCTCTGAGTTTAGGTAATAAAAATAACCAGAATATGCAAGTCTTATTTTTTTACTTAATGTAAAATTGCTATATTGAGACTCTCTAAGTCTCTTACACCTTATTTCTCTACAACGCTTCCACTTCACTTCAAGCAGCGAAGTTTGTGGTCCAGATAAATGGCTTCTTGAAATATCTTGTTGGTTTTTTTTTTTTTTATTTTCTTTATTATTTTTTTTTAAAAAAAAAAACCACCACCAAAGTGCAGCTGCCTGCTTTGTCCTCCCCTCCTCGGTCTAACGCTGCCTCTCTCCCCCCCTCCAGGCAGTTGGTCTCCGGAGCGGAATCCCTCCAGCTGGTCGCCGATCTCCTGAAATCCATAGACAGGATTTCTGAGCTGTCGGAAGACGGACAGTGACTCAAACAAAACGGACTCAAAACGGACAACTTCGCTTTCATGCAGAAATCATTACTTAAAAGTTAATTTCTGATACTCAGCCTCCGGAAGCGGTCTGTAGTCCTGGTCCCGCGCGTTGTGACGGGTTTTGTGGCACCGTTAAAGGGGGCGGGGAGCGGGGAGCCGGGGCGGGGACCAGGGACCCAGCGGAGC